CTAACCCTCATATGCCGGTTGATGAGGGAAAGTGATGCCACACTGCTGTCCTGCTGGGCTCAGATTGGCAATCTTTCAATTTTTCTTCGAGTGAAAGGCGTTGCTGCTTCCAACCTCGTCCCTCTTCATAACTCTAGTCCGTTATTTTCTCTTCCTTCTCTATTATCTTTATACCTCTGACGTCATTTCCCCCCAAAAGTACCGTAAGAATCAAACCATCGAAAAATGCAATCGTATTTTTTTTTTCGATCATTATTTCGCCATCTCACATTTAGTCCTTTCGATGTAGAACCTTTTCAATTTTGTTTTGCTCTTTCGTCCTCTGTTCATGCCTTTTTTCTCCTCATGGTCCCTCATTTCAACCCCACTCCTTTCTATAAGTGTTTTTCTCCATTTTATGCACGGATGACACGCCTTGGGGCAGACGAAGGGTTTCTCTCTCTGTACTTCTCCTGCCCACGGCAATCCACTGCCATTTTGTGCACACATTCCACTGGCAATGTCCACTGCGCTACCTTCCATGCTTCTTTTGCTTATCGAGGATATCACATAGCCTCCTATCTACTGCTTGCTCGTTTCCATGCAAACTTAAGCTCTTTGTAAGTATCACGTCTTCGGGTTTTTTGTGTTTCATTTATTGTCCCCCCGGCTCAATCCCCGCTGCAATCGACAATCTTACCAACCTTCTTCGAGTTGAAGGCCTCTCTCCTGTATCCTACTTTCTTTCTCGTCCCTCTTCATCACTCTTATCCATTCTTTTTCTTCCTCCAGATTTTTTCGATACATCGTGTTGTTCCTACTTTCCTACTCTCTCCTCCCACCCCTTCCAGTCCTTCCTCGTCAAACCTTTGCGTTCTTTTCTACTCCCTCTCTTCCTCTTCTCATACCCTCTCTGTCCTCATGATCTCTCCTTTCGTCCTCACTCCGTCCATTTCCTATTGTCCCCATCTGCCTTCCCTACCACATGCCCATCCGTGTTTATTGTCGCAGAGATGTTTCGTGGAATCAGCTCAATGGCTCAATCCCGACTGAAATTGGCAACCTTACAAACCTGCAAGGCTTGTAAGGTTCTTTCCTTGTTTTCCTCTCCCTTCTATACTTCTCCCCTCCACCGTTTCTCCACCTCTTGATGCTGGTCCTGACCCTTGCCTTTCGGTTGAAATGGGAGAGTGGTGCTTCAGTTGAGTCCACAGCCCTACTGGACTCAGATTCTGGGCGGTTGCCAATCTTTTGCTCATTCAGATTTGCATAACCTCCTACCTACTGCTTGGGCGTTTCTATGCAAGCTTAAGCTCCTTGTATGACACGCTTTGGGGCAGACGAAGGGTTTCTCTCTCTTCACTTCTCCTGCCCCCGGCTATCCCCTGCCATTGTCTGCACACATTCCACTGGCAATGTCCATTGCGCTGCCTTCCATGCTTCGTTTTCTTGTTTAGGAGATCACATACCCTCGTATCTACGGCTTGTCGTTTCCATGCAAACTTAAGCTCCTTGTACTGCATGCTCGGGTTTTTTGGTCCCGCAGAAGGCTTCAAAGAAATCAGCTCAGTGGTTCAATCCCTGCTGCGATCGGCAACCTTGCGAAGCTGACTTACTTGTAAGGCCTCTCTGCTGTGTTGCATGCTGCATTCTCTGCCCCTCGTCGCAATTCTTTCTCCTCCTGCTTCTTCTATCGCCACTCTTTGCTGGACCACTCCAGTTAACCCTCCGTGTTGGCTATTGCCGACTTAAAATTTGAGGATGTGGAATGAACACAGCTGCTGTGCCTGCAGACATGCACATACGGCAAACCGAGTCGAACACCATTCTTGTTTAGGCATGAGCATATCAAATAACAGAGCCGATCTTTTACTAGATTCATCAGGCCGGTTTGGTACCGAACCGAACCAGTTCGAAGCGAACCGGTCCGGGTTCGGCCGGTTCGAGGTTCGGTTTTAGAGGCATAGAACCAAACTGGTTCGGTTCAAACCGGAGCTGGTTCGACCGAACCGGTTCGGTTCGATGGCTACAGGGGGAAGATTTTGTACAAGGGCAGATTTGTTACACAATAAGCAGATCCGTAAATGTGACTGTGGGAAACCCGTTAAGGTAGGGAAAGGGGCGTAATAGGAGAAAGTTGGAGCTCGAAATGAGCTCCAAGTTTCTGTTTTGTTTCACTAAGAACGCGGCCGTGCCGGTTCACCGCGTTGAACCAATGTCGATTCGATTCGAACCGGTTCGGATCAATGCAGCTTGTAAGAAAAGAAACAAACCGGTCGAACTGTTAGCCTGAAATAGGACCCTGGTTTGATTTGACTCACTCATGCCTACTGTAGCCTAATCTAGCTTACCCTAATGTGCCAGTTCTGAAGGAAGAGTGATGCCACAGTGCTGTCTTGAGCCGCGGGTTCCAATCCCTGCAACGCTCACTCACCTTCTGGGAGATTGGCAATCAAACAAACCTTCTTCAAGTGTATTGCGGCGTTTTTGCTCCATTCTCCCCTCGTTTCATGCTCGTCCCTGTTCCTACCTTTTACCTCTTGTCCACGTTTTTGCTTCTTCATAGTTTTTTCTCGTACAAGTTCAGGGGGGCCCAAAACTATATCTTTTCTTCGCCTCTCTCCTCCCATCTTCCATGCTCTCTTCCTCAATCCTATTCTATCTGTGGATGATATGCGTTGGGAAAGGCAAATATTTTACCTCTCTTCACTACTCCTCCTGCCCCCAGCTATCCTGTGCCATTGTCTGCACACATTCCACTGGCAACTTCCACTGCGCTGCCTTCATTGCTCGTTTCCATGCAAACTTCTTTTTGTGTTTTGAAGTTACTTACCCCCCGACTCAATCCCCGCTCAAATCGGCAACTTACCAACCTTCTTCGAGAGTTTAAGGCCTCTCTCCTCCGTATCCTCTTTTCTTTCTCGTACCTTTTCATCACTATTATCCAATATTTACCTTCCTATGTATTTTTTCGATACATCCCATTGTGTTGTTCCTCCTTTCCTACTCTCTCCTCCTGTCCCTTCCAGTCCTTCCTCCTCAAACCTGTGTGTTCTTCTCTACTCCCTCTGTTCCTCTGTTCATGCCTTCAGTGTCCTCATGATCTCTCATTTTGTCCTCACTCCTTCCTTTTCCTTTTGTCCCTATCTCGTCTCCGCCTCTCTCCTCCTTTCTCTGCAATTTTTTTCCCCACCCCCATTTTATGAGATGATGACACGCCTTTGGGAAGGAGAGAGCACCTGTTTCCTCACTTCTCCTGCCCCCCGCCTATCCGCAACCATTGCCTGCACACATCCCAGGGACAATGTCCATCGCACTGCCTTCATGCTTTTGTTGCCTTTTCTGGATTTTGCATAACCTCCTATCTGCTGCTCGTTTCCATGCAAACTCGAGGTCCCTGTATCTACCTTCCCTACCACATGCCCATCCGTGTTTATCGTCGCAGAGATGGTTCGTGGAATCAGCTCAGTGGCTCAATCCCGACTGAAATTGGCAACCTTACAAACCTGCAGGGATTGTAAGGCCCTTTCCTTGTTTGCTCTCCCTTCTGTGCTTCTCCTCTCCACCGTTTTTCCACCTCTTGATGCTAGTCCTGACCCTTGCCTTTCTGTTGAAATGGGAGAGTGGTGCTTCAGTTGAGTCCACAGCCCTGCTGGACTCAGATTCTGGGCGGTTGCCAATCATTTGCTCGTTCAGATCTGCATAACCTCCTACCTACTGCTTGGTCGTTTCTATGCAAAATTAAGCTCCTTATATGGCACGCCTTGGGGCAGACGAAGAGTTTCTCTCTCTTCACTTCTCCTTCCCCCGGGTATTCCCTGCCATTGTCTGCACACACTCAACTGGCAATGTCCACTGCACTGCGCTGCCTTCCATGTTTGTTTTGCTTATTAAGGATATCAGATAACATCATATATACTACTTGCTCATCTCCATGCAAAAATAAGCTCCTTGTTTGTACCGCATATTCGTGTATTTTGTCCTGCAGATTACTTAATAACAATCAGCTCAGTGGTTCAATCCCTGCTGTGATCGGCAACCTTGCGAAGCTGACTTACCTGTAAGACCTCTCTGCTGTGTTGCATGCTGCATTCTCTGCCCCTCGTCCCACTCTTTCTCCTCTTGCTTCTTCTATTGCTACGCTTCGCTGGACCACTCCAGTTAACCCTCCATCTAGGCTATTGCCGACTTATAATTTGACGATGTGGAATGAAAACTACTGCAGTGTCTGTGGACATGCACATACGGCAAACCGAGTCGGACACCATTCTTGCTTAGGCATGAGCAAAGCAAATAACCAAACCGATCTGTTTCTAGATTTTTCAGACCAGTTTGGTACCGAACCGAACCAGTTTGAAGCGAACCAGCCCGGGTTCGGCCGGTTCAAGGTTCAGTTTTAGAGCCATAGAACCAAACTGGTTCGGTTCAAACCGGAGCCAGTTCGAGGTGAACCGAACTGGTTCGGTTCGAGACTCAGGGGGGGGATATTGCACATGGGCAGATTTGTTACACAATAAGCAGATCCTTGAATGTGACTGTGGGAAACGCGTTAAGGTAGGGAAAGGGGCATAACAGGAGAAATTTGGAGCTCGAAATGAGCTCCAAGTTTCTGTTTTGTTTCACTAAAAACGCGGCCGCGTCAGTTCGCTGCGTTGAACCAAGGTCGATTCTTTTGACTCAACCGAGTTTACTCAACTCCCTTGCTCATGTCTACCACTGTAGTCGGCAATACAGCTGAGCAACTTGTAGGGCCTCTCTACTGTGTTGACTTCCCCTGTCGTGCAAGACTTGTATTAATCCTTCACGAGCACGATCCGTGGATCCGTCGCAGGTTTTTTTGGGGAAAGCTGCAGGTGCTGACTATCAACTCCGCTTGCTTTTTGTACCCTCCTCTCCAGTCCACCCCTTGTCTTCATAGCTGCACATTGTGTATTTCGACCTGATACGCCATTGTGCAAAATTGGGCAGTCTTGGCTCACGGCGAGCCACCTGCTGTCCACCCAGTCTTGACGAGTGACAAGATGTCTCTGTTCATGTCTCTTGTGTACTTTGTGCTCATATGGTGCTTGGATGGGAAGCTATGTTACCGTGGATGCATCCGGTGTTATTTATCCAAGCTGGTCTCCAGACGCTGGATTTCATCCAAGCCAAAAAACTCGCGAAGTAACACGACTTTAGCAAAAGCTTAATTGGACTTATCTTTTATTTATTGAACACTCCCTCGTACCCATCGTGATCCTCGTCTCCCCCTACCTCTCCCCTCATGCCCTTGTCTTTCCTCCATGCCTTCTGCATACCTTTTCTGCTCCAAGACCTTCCTCTGCTCACCACCTCATTCATACCATTCACATGCATCCAAGTTTTCCTATGAGCCTGATGAAATATCTCCTACCTATTTTTGGTTCCCCTGGCATTGTTTGACCACCCACCCCACCCCCCCCCCCTCCTCCCCCTCCCCCCCTCCCCTCACAGTGATCTCTCCCACAACTTCCTCACAGGTCCCCCACTTGAGATCTTGAATCGGGGGCCAGGGTTCAGGGCGGACCTCTCTAGCAACTACTTGTCGGGTCCATGGAATGCAAGAAACTGTTCTCAGTACAGTATTGCGGCCAACTGCTTTGCACAGGACAGAGCTTGCTCTTCTGATATACAGCGACCCCCAGCACAGTGCACAGCGTTCTGTGGCATATCCGCAAACAGTAGTACTTCTGCGTGTGACGGCCGTGGCATCTGCAAACCAGTCGGGCCCAGTTTGGTGCCCACGTGCTCGTGTAATTCGGGATCGGTGCAGCTTGGAGGAATCCACTGTATTGCGACAGGTAAGATGTTTCTGTAGCACACCTTCAGCGCTTATAATTGTACTGCGAATATTACGCATGGTCGCACTTGCAAGGGCTATACGGACATCACATTGTTTATTTGCCCAGTAATCCCTCTATAGCCGTTTGCCTTACAGATTGCGACAGTCTTGTCCAGCCAGCCTGGCACCACACATTGGTTATCCCTCGCCTCTGTGGCTCTCACCCGGTTTAACCAGAGCAGATAAGCTCACTGAGTCATTCATGGGTGCTACACACAAAGTAGCACCACACGGCACAGACCCCTTTACCATGGATGCCCCCTCCAAAGTGCTGACCACAAAATTTGTTCACATATTGCAACATTGCTCACCACTCTCACCCTTCGTCATGCTCTTCTCTGCTGCTCCTCCATCAAAACTTTTCAGGCTTGATTGAACAAGGCTACACCATTCTTCCCCGATTCACCGAGCTCACCAACGGGTTACATCAGCAGACAGTGGGGCGGTTCTTGGCAAAGCCAGTGACCCTGTTTGCTTGCCCTCCTGGTGTGACCTCGCGATGTGGCTTGGAGTTGGCGTTTAGAGTCAACTTCACCTTCGCTATCTTTCCCCAGAATGGTGCTGCCAGGTCCAACGGCTTTGCGTTTGTGATCGCAGCAAAGGCCAAGGCGGGGAAACCCAATGGTGTGGGGTATGGAGGAATGGGGCCTGGGAACATAGCCGTTGTGTTCAAGACGCTTCAAACAAACAAGCAGTGTGATAGCGAGCAACACGTGGGTCTGAACATTGACGGCGCGGAAAAATCAATGGTGAAAGAGGTCTCACCATTCATTCTCACCAACGGCGCTGGATACACGGCATGGGTGGACTATGAGCCTGGGTACCCCGGCACCATTCAAGTGTTCCTGGCGGATTCATCTGTGAAGCCAGAGAAACCGCTGCTGCAGACGAGTTTGTCACTCTGTGAGCTACTGCAGGCTTCAGTGAAGCCCTTCCAGCCGGCGTTCTCGTTTGGTTTCGTTGCGTCCACCACTGTGAAGCCCTTCCAGCGATACAACATTCTCTTCTCTTACGTGCAAACAGGTAAGGATATGCCAAGCGGGGTGATTGTGATGGCCTTGACTGTCTGAATGGTGATAGCATGTTCTGTATAGGGGGGGTGGTGGTGGTGGTGGTGGTGGTGGTGGTGGTGGCCGTTGGTGGTTCTCTTCCTCCCTCTCTTAAGACTCAACCATCCTGACCTGCTGTGTTGTCTTCCTACTTGTGTCTTTCTCTCTCCATAGGTGCTCCTTCACCCAAGACACCCGAGAACAAAACACAAGGTGAGCACTATGGCTGGCATGTGGCAATGGAATGTTGAAATTCCCGGTAGCGAGGTGTGGGGCATCCACAAGAAGCCTTAGGCCGCAGGTGAGGTGCACGTGTCAAACGTGACGTGTGTGTCCCAACCAACCATCTTGTTTCAAGAGCCGCACCTAGTCGTCCCAGATCGCATGCTCATCTCTGCTCCTGCTCTTGCTGTACTCCCCAAGCACATCTCTTCTTCTTCCCCACCCCCTTCCCGCCCCTTACAGCTCTCGGCCTTTCACTATCGAATGCCACGTTTGCACCATCTCAAGTCAGCCCCTTTTCGCGCTACGTGAGTGCGGACTTCAGTCTGTCGACCAAATTGATGGAATCGTGGAACATCCGTGACCCCCACTCGTGGGACGCCGTGCCCTGGCTCGATTGGCCTGTCAAGAACCAGAAAGACTGCAGTAAGTGGAAACAGGATCGCAAGTGGAAACAGAATCCCGAGTTCCCAGCTCACATTCTGACCCGCTTTTGCATTGCCTTTAAATAACATATTTCCCTAGTGTCATGTCTTATGTTAAACGTCAACTGCTGTTTCTTTCTTGACGAACAATGTTGTAGCCGCGCTGCACGAGGCAGCAAATGCCGCCGTCATTGCATGCTTCTCCTTCTCCGTCCACTTTTCAGATGCCTGCTGGGCGTATGCGGTGGTGGCGAGTGTGGAGGGAGCATACGGCATAGCCAACAATAGCAGAGCTCCCCAGTTGTCAGTGGAGTCCCTCTTTGCTGCCATGGGGCTCACCGATGCAGACAACTGCACAGCTGGCGGCTCACCCGCCCAGGCATTTGAAAACCTCGTGGCTCTTAATACCAACAACGGCAGTGGGCTCACAGGGGCCAACAATTCGGTACGGAAAACAGAATGGTCTGCTAACAAACCTGAGCACCAGAAATTCCAGCCATGAGTTTTGAATCCGTTGCGAGAATGACCAGCCCGACCCGTGCCGGACCCCCACTGGCTGCAACGAGGCCCGTCACGCTGGCTACGGCTTGGAAGAACGTAGCCAGCCAAGGCCCGTCAAGAATTTTGACATGTGGCTCTGGATGGCCCTGCCCTGTAGTGCCGATCGGGCCTGGCGAAAATTCGACCCGTGTGATTTTGACAGGCTGGCTCTCCACAACCATCCCTTCTTCCCCCACCCCACCTTCCCCCTCCCTTTTCCCCCCTACCCTCTTCCCCACCCCTCACCCCACTCTCCCCCCCTCCGACCCCTTCCCCCACTCCAACACCCCCCTTTCCCTTCCACTACTATCGCATTCCCCTATTCTCGTGACCCCAGGCAACTAGGTACCCGGTGCAGGCATTTGAGCGAGCGCAGTTCAAGGGGTATGTGGGGCTCATGCTGGCAGTGCGACACCAGCCAGTGTTGGTTCACATCCAGGCGTCTGCTGCCACGTTCAATGCGTATAATGGGGTGAGTCGTTGCAACTCTCAGCCATTATGGTGCCTCGTTGTCCCACCATGGCGCATTTAGCGCGGCTTGGAATGAAAATGTGGGTTCCAAGAGCTGATTAATGAAGAAGAGGAAAAGAAACCAATGAAAGAAGTGTAATTACCTCAATTTCGCTCAATTTCACACCACTCAATTTCACTTGTGCATCTCAGTAGGTAATATTTCTCTTTCCAACAGAAATCCTACCCAGTAACCCAAATACAAATGTTTATCCATTTCATAAACATTTTGTTGAATGCATACTCTGGCTTTGTTTGCTCACACATATATGGCACGGACATTCATTGTGTAGTGCTTTAACCCCTTCCACCTCGGATTCATACTTGACTTGACTGACTGTTCTTCTAAACCCACAACCCCCCAACTCTCCCCCCCCCCCATTTTTTTCAATGTATCTTCTGCTTGAACTCTGTTGCAGACTTTTAAATACCAGGATCCAGATTGCTACACGGGCAGTCTCAACCATGTTGTAATCGTTATAGGCTACTCCATCGTGGTTGAAGACGGCAATCAGAAGCGCATTGCTCCACCATTTTGGATCATCCGCAACTCATGGGGAGAGGGGTGGGGAGAGAATGGTCACATGCGCATGGACATTCAGGGAGGGGATGGCGTGTGCGGCATCAATGTGCTTCCTGGCATCTACCCCATTATCAGAAGTGAGCACTATCTACCCCATAATCAGAAGTGAGCACTATCTACCCCATAATCAGAAGTGAGCACTATCTACCCCATAATCAGAAGTGAGCACTATCTACCCCATAATCAGAAGTGAGCACTATCTACCCCAGAATCAGAAGTGAGCACTATCTACCCCATAATCAGAAGTGAGCACTATCTACCCCATAATCAGAAGTGAGCACTATCTACCCCATAATCAAGAGTGAGCACTATCTACCCCATAATCAAAAGTGAGCACTATCTACCCCATAATCAGAAGTGAGCACTATCTACCCCATAATCAGAAGTGAGCACTATCTACCCCATAATCAGAAGTGAGCACTATCTACCCCATAATCAGAAGTGAGCACTATCTACCCCATAATCAGAAGTGAGCACTATCTACCCCATAATCAGAAGTGAGCACTATCTACCCCATAATCAGAAGTGAGCACTATCTACCCCATAATCAGAAGTGAGCACTATCTACCCCATAATCAGAAGTGAGCACTATCTACCCCATAATCAGAAGTGAGCACTATCTACCCCATAATCAGAAGTGAGCACTATCTACCCCATAATCAGAAGTGAGCACTATCTACCCCATAATCAGAAGTGAGCACTATCTACCCCATAATCAGAAGTGAGCACTATCTACCCCATAATCAGAAGTGAGCACTATCTACCCCATCGTCTAGCGTGGGCACTATCTCGTGCGAGGCAGCCAGCGATGGTGGCAAATCTCTTGCAAAACTGTGCAGATCTGGAATTTAAAAGTTAGATCCCTGAGAATCTGGCATTTCACCGGCAAATCCTCTTGGATTTGGCATTTTGCCACCAGAGCCGCTCGCATTTGTCACTTAACCACCTCTATGATCTTGAACTAATCGTTCAAGCAAAGAGAGTGTAGACAATCCACATGCTTTCTCAAGGCTAGTATCGATAAGCACAGAACAGTCCGAAAGGGACGTCAAAAACAGCACGGTATGCACGCTTTGCAAGCTCAATGTGGTACGAGCTCTTTAGTAATTTCTCTCCACACTTGCTTGTTTTCTATGGTCGTCTAACATCCATCTTCACGTTTTGAAAAGTGCAACCTCTTTGTCGCCTTCCAGTTCCAGGGGACCCTTGCGGGCGCAAAAGCTACAAGTTCGATAAGGAGACGGAGACCAGCATGAACCCGTGCGGCCGCTTCCAGTGCCAGACTTCCAAAACAAGAAGCAACAGCAATAACTGCAACTGCAGTATTCCCGCTCTTGGAGCTAATCCGCAGCCCTTTGTCGAAGTTAAGAATGGTTATGGCTCCAACACATGTGCTTACGGTAAGTTTGATGGCAAGGAAAAGCTTGAGTTTCCAAAGTTTGTCTCTCACGAAACTCAAGTATGCCTGGTTCTTGCACCATGCAAAAGCCCCCTCACCCTCCTGATATGAGTGCGGAGATTAGTAGGCGAGAGGGCACATCAACGAGTGAGTGAGTCACAAGACATCTCTCCCAGCCTGCTTGTGCAATGTGCAGGAGATCCGACGGCATCTTGTGGTGTGCAGCATCATTTCGCTTGAGTGACATGTAGTGCCATATCCCCTCTCGCTCCTCTCCATATCCCCCCTTCTCTTCTCCCCAACACTCATCCCTAATCTCTTCTCCCCACATCCCCACTCTTTCTACCAATATTCCCACATCTTTCTTCCCATATCCCTCCAATGTCTGTACCATGCGCCACCCCTATACACCTGGGGCAGTGAACATGTGTGGGTCATACTTCAAGAACCCCTGCTACGTGGGAGCATGCATCAACGATGGCAAGGGCGCCTACTCCTGCATCTGCCCTCCCAACCACGTACCCAGCAAAACCGTTGATGGCTTTCCCACCTGCGATCCAGGTGCTGCCACTCTACCCCAAGCAGGTGTCTTTAGAAGTGTCAGTCTGTATTGCTTAAAATCGCCAGTGTGTTGTGCTTGTAACACAACTGAGGGCATTCCAGCACTGTACGATGGGCCCCGAATCTTCTGTTTCTCTGAAGTTGCTAACCCTCCCTTTCCGTTCCATAATGCCCGTGTCTCTCCTCTCCCTTTGGCGTCTGCAGCAAACAGCACAGCCACCACAATGACAGTCCAAGGAGACAACTGGTTGTGCTCGGATGTTTATGCACTTGTTGGCCTCTCACTGGATGAATTCACTCTCCAAAATGCAGTAAGGATTGTGGGTGAGAGGCTAGCCTCCATCCAACTTTCTCGCTTCACTTCCCGTATCCCCTATTATCACATCACTTCACCCGGTAGTCCTATATCAACCTGGCCCTGGTATGGTTTGATTTAACATCGTATCTTCCTTGACCATTGTTGATAGTTGCATCCTAGTTTTATTTAATCAGTCTTTAACTCTGTTTTTTCACAGGAAGAATCCAAGAACCTCAAATCACATAGTGAGGTGCAAGAACCTTACTCCCTAGGACCCGGTACGAAGGGGAGGCCCATGTAGAATTTGGTACGATTGCAGCCAGCCATTGCCCAAGGGCAGTGTCCTTCAGCTGGATGGTACTCCCGCCACACCCTGCACTGCCTTCTTTTACACCCTCAAGGTGAGAAACTGCTTGCCTCTTGGCCACACCACGTTATGCTCTTAATCAGCTCGGGGTTATTGAGGTCAATGCTCCTATTGCGTCTTTATTGGTACAAAATAGGGATCGCCGATTTTGATCACGCAAAAGCACATCACATTGTTGTGGTCGCGAGCAAGCAGCAAGCACACTGTCCCTGCCTCTCTCCAACCTGCCAGGGAGACACCTGTGAATCCATCAGCAATCAGCTTAACTACAATAAGGGGAATCTCACCACGCTAAACCCCGGCCTTAACTGCTCCGAGCCCTTGAAGGCGGGCCGCTCGGTGTGCCTCGAGCGCAGCGCTGCCTTCGCCTACATGGTGCCTGATTGTAAGAAGTATGGCACACTCACACGTGAAGACAAATGTGACCAGCTGCTTCAGGGGACACCTAATTCAGAAGAGAGCTCCAAAGAAAGCCCGTGGCTTGCACTTTACCGCAACAATCCTGGCCTTACTTGCTCCTCCACCATCCCTCAATCTGCCTCCGCTGCTGGCAGCAAGATTGGCGTACAGGTGAGGGCTGTGAGGGCTGGGGGAGGGGGGAAGAGGGGGGGAAAGGGAGGGTAGAGGGTGTGACTAGGGTTGGGGTAGCAGGTAGGTAGGTGGACAAATGTGGTTGTGCTTTGCATTCTGGGCTTCTGCACGAGTACGTGGTTTGTCGCCCTTTCCTCTGTTCTACATTCCTTGCCAGTCTTTGCTTGTCAACTTGGTTTTACCAACACCATCATGAATTCCATTAAATTCACTCACATGAATCTTGTCATCCCAGATTTGCCTCCAAGCAGAGTATTGGCCATTCACAACAATGGGTATCTGCAAGAAGGGAAGGGTAAAGCAAGTCCAACCAACTATGGCATGTTCAGCTGCTTACCTCCTTTATAATGGACCAACCTCGGCAGCAATTGAACAGTTTAACAACTAAAATGTTAGGTCTTGCTCTGGAACTGTAAGAGCGAAGTCTATTTGCGTGCCCCTGTCATCTTAGAATGCCTTTCATTGAAGAGTATTGTCTTAATGGCCAAATTCTATACAACCATAGGGACCACGCCCCAGGATAGAGGGGTGAAATACCCTTATGACATGGGTCTCCTTTGTTATCTGACAAAACTACTGTCTGTTGGTTCGATTTTTAATAGTGTGCTTTGTTTACTAGAACCGTACATCATATTGTTGGAATTATGGTTGATTCAGGTTGCTCTAGTAAATATTTACACTAGTGTTTGGATTTACATAGGTACTCTAATACTCTGGATTTGCAGGTCAATGACAGCTACGATGCTGAGGAAGATCCGCAGAGTTACGTAACTGCTCACCGGCGCATACGTCTCATCGTAGCCTGCGCCATAGACCGGCGTGAAACCCTTCATGACCAAGCACGCCTTCTCGGGGGAGACCGTGTCGTCGATGTGGTACTTCGTTGTGAGCACCGAGCGGTTCTTCACAATGTTGACACCGCTCGGACGCTCCACTAGCTCCCACGTTCCGTTCGAGATGAGGCTCTTGATTTCCTCGTCCATGGCTGCCTTCACCGCCTTGCCCTTCCAGCTCGCCAACGCCTCTTTCACCGTCATGTTGGCGATGTCCCAGAGATGATCTGCGTCGGCGTGCATGTCGGGGTCGAGCTCGGGCAAATCGACGTCGTCCTCTGTGTCGTCGAGCAGTGTAATGTTGGCCGTCGGCGGCAGACAAGCGTGGTAGCTTAGCTTCTTAGGTGGCTTTCCATTGTTGGGGCGGGTAGACCGTCGCGGTTTCTCCTCTTCGACCGGGACCTCCACCACGTCGCTGTCGTCGGATTGCTCCCCTATCGACAGCTCCCCTTCACCGCGGCCGGCTGCACAGACGATCTCCACAACGTCGTCGCTCGACGAGTCGTCATCGAATTGCTCCCCTGTCGACAGCTCCTTTACCGACTGCTTCCCACGGATCGGCTTCTCTGCCAACGGCTCCCCTGAAGCTGGCGCCTCTGCCGATGGCTTCTCCGAAGTCAGCTTCGACGCCGATGGCTTCCCAGTCCTCTGCTCCCCAGTCATCTGCCGCTGCCCGTCTACGACCTTCTCGGCGTCACGTTGGCCACCGCCGATGCAACCGGTCGGCGCCACAGGTGACGCACCAAGTCTCCCCTCATCGCCGGCGGCCGACGAGGATCCCTTCTCAGGAAGGTCAACGACGGGCGGTGATGGGGAGGGCGACAAAGCCGCTGACGGGGGGAAAACAGGAGGAGGGAGGGGAGCAGGGGAAATGTCTCCGAGGAGGAAGTCGGCGGCAGGGCAGACGGCGCCCTTGTCGACGACGGCCCGTACTGTGCCTTCCACAACTCCAGCGACATGGTCTCGTAGAAGATCGCTTCGACCGTCGTGATGATTTTGATGTCTGTCAAGTCGAGCACCTCCCAGCCCTTGCTTTCTGGCGACACTTCGAGGTGAAGAC